AAGCAGTGGTATCAACGCAGAGTACTGTTTCTTCTAGCACTGTTTTTCAAAGCTGGTTTTGACCCACCCCGTAGAGCTAGCTGGCTTCGACCTTGTGATTGAAAATATCACTGTTCAATAAGAGCTTCCCCAAGAATTATGTGAAAGAGAGCTGGAAACTGTCTTAGTGGGTAAATTGAGGTATTAGGTTGTTAGTTAATCAGTACAGGTTTCTTAAATTTGGACTTTGAATTACTATAACTTTTTGCACAAACAGTCTTTCCATTTGCAATAAAACTTTCCCACTTTTCTTAGAAAACCTCACTTTGAGGAATCTAAATAGTAAGATAGCGCGCAATTCATTCATTATGTAGCCTTATAGTCGGCTATGCAACGGCGCTGAGCTTGATTTAAACGAAAAAAAATTTTCGCTAACAGTTTCAAAAAGTTTGAAAGTATTCATTTTTATCGATTTCTCTGACGAGGCAAAAATTCATGTTTTTTTTTTGTTTTTGAGTTTTCTCGAAGTTGTAGAGAAAAAACAGCTCCGATTTTTCTGGCTGTACGGTACTAAGTCTATTCTTCCTCTATATAGAGCAGAACAGGAGACGGCAGCGACTGTTTGAATTTGCTTCGAAATTTCTTAACTCAGAAAGCCTTAGGCGTTATGACTCATTATGCATTTTGCAGTTAACTCAGAAACACTGTGCACCTGTGCCATTTCACGAAATATCGAAATTCTTCACATCGGAGCATTTCAGTAATATTTTGAAATCCTGGATTCGAACTCATGATTTCAGTCCAGCAAAAGTTCCGTGATCAACCAAAAAACCAAACTATCGAACACATCATGAGGATGGAAACTGTAGGGGAAATAGAATTCTGACTATTTTTGTACTATCATTGTGCTCAGATTAAATGGGTACTTTTCACGGGTACTTTGAACGAAATTGGAATACTCTAAATTCTTTGGGTCCTCTCAAGCTGAGCAGCACCTGTGGCAAGGGTCTGCCAAGTGCGAATGTACCTACGTCCAAACCTGGGTGCAACCGCATCCAATCAAATTCGGCAGTCATAATAGAGAAAAAGGTAAAAATGCGACTTATTTTCAGTGATGTATTTCTGATTTATACATTTTCGGGAAGCATTTTTTGCTTAGATTGATATGTGCAAAGTATGTAGTCTAGGATGACTGGATCTGCTAAAATTTTTGAGAAATTATCGCTGACATAGGCACTTTTTCGCCAATCATCAGAGAGTTCTTATCTCTGAATTATGTGTTTTAAGATTAAATTCCTCAGCGTCGGGCAATAGTTAATCACCGACCGGCCGTCTGCATTATGGTCTTGATAAAATGGCACCACTCAGACAATTGGAAAAACTCAGCGGGCAGCCACAAAGCCGCCACCAATCCCCACCAAAAGCCCCCGCGCCTTATCGCTGCCACTGTGGATACCCGCTGAATGCCATGTGGCTTCCACATCACTGCCACTTCATAGCGGCCCGCTGACTGCCAGTTAAAGCAGCCCGCTCAATGCCATATAAAGGATCCCGCCCACTGCCGCTTATAGTAGCCCGCTCAATGCCATTTAAAGTAGCCCGCCCACTGCCGCTTATATTAGCCCGCTCACTGCCGCTTACCGCACTTTCGGGATCCACTACTCCTTCTGTACTTGCATTATAAACAAGCTAGGCATCATCTTTTATTAATCAGTTGCCCGAAACAATGCAATACTTCCAGTAATTTAGTATAATGCATTAAGGCACATAACAATAACTCAACGAGGAACAGATACAGAGGAAAGAAATCAACTCAAAAGATCATTTGGAGTGTCTTGATACACGTACACGTAGAGTCACATAAAGTCAAAATGCAAGATCAAGGCATAGAGATGAAGTGAAGATGTCCATCCGGGAAGAGGTTTGAGGTGTTCAGCTCCAAACAAAATAATCAGGATCAACCATTTGATAGATTTTTAATGCATACCTTAATCGATTCGACAGCTTACTCAAGCGACAATGCGAGGTATGCCTGGTTTTGGTTCTGCAGTTCTCTGAGTTCCATCACTGGGTTAGTTTCTGGTGCTGTTCTTCTTCTTTTCTGGAAATAAACTTAGTCGCTTTTTGCAGAATTATAAGAGATGAAGAATTTTTCGATAACTACTCACCGCGTGTGACAGCCACTGTTTTTTTTCCATGTCGTATTCATAAGATCTGATATCCCTCCTGCATAATATTTACTGATTTTTACTTCAACCAAACCTTAAAATATAAAACTCACAAAGCAAGCTGCATCCCTTTTAGTATTTCGGATTTGTACAAATCAAAATCGGCCAACAACTCGTCTAATTTCTTCTGGCGCTCCTTTTCGTTTTCGCCAAGCTCGATGTAGAAGCTAGAAATTTGTGTTTTGATCCAGATAACCATTTTTTCAAAAAGCTACCGTGTCCTTTCATTTGCCGCTCTTTTCCCAAGCCTCAACTGCGGTTCGCCTAACCCGATCAAATCCAAAGCAAAATCTGAAATCAGAGTCAATGCGATGCTAATGTCTGCACACTACTTGGTATAAACATCCCTACCCTCGAGTGTCACTTCCACTGCCGCCGGTAAATTTTGCAGGTGCTTTTCCCTCCCAGCCTTACGATGATACCTTATCGCGTAATCTTGGATTTGCTGAGGAGGCTCCGTCAGCTGAAAGTTGTCCAATGATTAGACGTATTGCGCGCGCAGGGAGAAGTAAACCTGCTGGAAGATATAACGAAATACGCGTGCGAAGTTCTGATAGCACGGCTCAGTGTCGTTGAAGCTAAAGCGCACCAGCAGTTCAGGAATTTCGACCTAAACCTCTCATTTGCGTGAGTAGTGTATAACAGCCAGTGACACTTTCGCTTCTGAATGGTGCGGCTTCGTCTAATTTCCAAGTTCTTGTCAGATTATTTAGGGACAAGACACGTGTTTGTCCATGTGGTGCATCCTTTGCTTTCCGTGGCTGTGATTCGAATGAACGCGCTAGCCGATCGTACTTCGCGATTTGTATCTCGCTCTGATAAAGTTGTGGATAATCGCAATTTTTCTCACTCGTTATTTTATTCTATTTCCTGCTTACAACTCAACGTCTAAGCAAGTTGAAGTGTGTGTCAGACTGAAAGTGTTATCCTCTTTCGTTACTTGCGGTTTCCATCCATCTATTCGAAACCACAATGAAGTAGACCCGGATTGTTAGAGTTTTCCTACTTGTTCAATCTACACAAATATTATCTGAGCATTTTGCGCTACCTACCACTTGCATTATCTTCCAATTTGTAGACATATTTTTCTTCCTCTAACGTATAATATTTAGGGGAGGTCTATTAAGATTTTTGAGATAGGCAGTAGCAAAACCAATAACGTACCATCAAAAAGTGGGCTATGGAACTTAGCCGGGTCTGCTCAGCCGTATCAGAATCCAAGAAAAAGTCGTGGTCAAACCTCTGGACTCGAAAAGCAGCTTCAGATTGGACGAATTCCTGAAAGATTTTTTGATCATCTAGGGTGTTTAAAATCAAATATCTTTACCTCGTATACAGCTTTGTTGAAAGAACGATTTCGCTTGGCCTCCAAGATTAGAGAGGCAGCAGCGCGCATATCAAGTGTAACTCCATGTATGCAATCATACAACATCCTGGGCTTCCTCACGACTTGCGATGTGCTTTCGACCTGATACAATTTTTGCGTTCTGATATTGAGTGGTACACGATGTCGAAGTGCGCATTATGACTTACAAGAGGGCTAGCATAAAATTCGTCTTCCTTTTCGACAATCACGAGTTCGTTGCGCTCATCGGTCTCCTCCATTCTAAACAATTTCGTTGAGGGCAGTGTCCGCACAAGAAGGCGATTTTGAAGTGGTGTGCTCACCTGGGCCTATTCTCTATGCTGAGTCCAGAAAACAACAAGGCGTGAAGACGGCAAAAAATGAATCTAACGAGGAATGAAATCAGTGGTCGGCGGGTATTCACCTCCTCATAGTGAAGCCACTCTTCAAGCTTTAGCATGTTCTCGGTTATGAATGCAAGTCACGCGTTCGCACATGGCCAGTGGCGATGATAGGGTGATTAGCGGAATCGAGATAGGCCCAGTTGAGCACAGCATTTCAAAATTGCCTTCTTGCCGAGACCCTATCTTTTAGTGAATATGAACGTTTAACAGACTTACAGTGGGCGGGTGCTCATGCTCAGCGGCTGTAATTCGTGGAATACGCGCGGGGAAGCAGCCGATGGTGGTGGTGATGAAGGCGCACGCACAAGAGATTGATCCGCTTGAGAAAATGCTGATATCGTGCGTGTGGCTGAATGACGGGGAACGGCGAAAAGTTTCCCACGTGTAGCTGTCACTTTCTTCATCACTAGTTGCCTGACAAGCTCAAATGGATCATACAAAATAGCACTCCTTCACCAGATAAATGGACTAGCGCGCTAGCAGGCAAGCACTTGCATGAAATTAATCTGTGACAAAGTACGATTCATGGTACACTCGAGTAGATCAAGCTCAACTAGCTAATTCATACGTATAATAAAATGCAACGGTCTAGCCATGATTATATCTTATTCCATCATCTTCTTATTCCATAAAAGCTTTCCTATCAGGTTTTTAGGTGAACAAAAATGCGAGCAATGATAGGTTTTCTTGCAGGATCTTCAAATAGTTGCATAACTTTCCTATGAAATGGACAAAAACGACTGAGGCTATGCTTGAAGTCAATATCTAAAACCTACTTATGAGCACGAATATGAAAGAGCGTTGGTAACAAAGACTTTTCTCTCTCTCTCCACTGCAAGTACATGCATAAGGGCCTGGACATTGATTTCGGAAATTTATCAGTGTTATTATCTCGGTTCATACGATTACTGAAAGGCGATTTTAGCTCACCCTTTGTCCTGTTCATACTCGACGATCCATAATGTTTTGACCATCCCAACGCAGATAATCGCGCAAAATCTATGATGCCCTCACTCAGGTTAAAACTATGCAAGAAAGGAACTTTATGTGGTTCAAAACCTATCATATCAAATTTTTGATGTTAGTTCAAAACAGTCATTCAGAGGGATAATATCTAAAGCACGATAATGGTTCTAGATATACCTGTAAGAAAAAGGAACTTGAAGAGATAAATCGCAACTGTTTTATGATATTTGACGTTTTTCAGCTAAAAGTGGCTTATACAACTAGTTTCGAATGAAAAATACAGGATTAATGAGAAAAGTGAGTTCTAAAACAAAAGCCAATCCTGATTTACATAGTGCAAGACAAGTGAATCCACAATATCAGAAAAGTGATGACGTGTCGGATGCCTTCTCAACAGGAAAAGAAATCAGAACCATAGTACAATGTTTCTAAAAATTAAGCACCTTGAAGAAACAGTAAGCACTCACTGAATTGCATTGCTCTTGCAATATTCCAAATTACTACGCTACATTACGATACGTTTGCATGCGTTCTGAAGACAAATCTGTTACTTTGTTGCGTACTCGAGCAGGTTTGGGATCACATTTCTTTTACCAAATAGACACTATCTTCATGCTCTAAGGCAATCCAAAACAAACATGAAAGGTGGACTCTTTGCTCAACAACTTAAGATTCTTTTCATGTGTCACTATGAATGTCAAAGAGGCTGTGTCTACAACAACATCAAAACTTGCGAAGAAAATCCCCTCATTTGTTATAGTACCTAATTTCTAAACTGCCAAAAATTACGCAGTATTTCACGAATAGCTATCGAAATCCATCTGAACTTACAACGCTCACCCGCAAGCTGCCCAATCTGGGAACAGAAAACTCGAAAACGTTTTGTATCTACAAGTTGTTCAACATGCCTTGGTCTTATTAATATGGTCGATTATTGAAATTGAGATATGTCAGAAGTGCTGATCAAATAGAAGCGTTTTTGAGTCTCCTGTCCCCAAAGAATGGTAGAGAATGGTACACACGATTCATGACACGCAGGGACTGGGCGCCGTTGCGTTCGTCCAAAATAGTTTTTGCGTGGGAGAGACAGCAGATGTTAAGAGAAACGAGAGAGCGCTCGATTGGAGCAATCGAAACTTGTTAATCAGAGAAATATTAGATTGAAGAAGAATATGAAAATTTAGGGTGAGTGAGGCAAAATGAGTGCAAAAGCGTTGAGAATAAACTGTGAATTAGAACTTACCTGCAGCTGGTGATCCTTCATGGAACTTTTCTTGATTTTGAGGTGCTTCTACTCCCATCACGTCTCCTCGTTTATCCAAACTAAATTTTTCCCTGTCTGCACTGTCGCGTAAGCGTGAGATGGTCCGTAGCTTCGCATATTCGTGTTCCACCTTGGCATGAAACATTTCTAAACATGATTGGTGATAAGCTGCAAATACTTATAAGCATCGATCTTACTTCTACATTTTCTTGCTCCGGTGTCTTCGTATCGGGGGCGTCTTTTGAGCGCCATAGAAACATGCCCAGAAGTTACTTGCAAAATTTCGACACCAGTTTGAAATTAGCGATTGGGAAGGAAAGTGTCGATCGCTTCTGAAATGATATCGTTCATGTGGATGATGACATCAAAGGCTACTGAGTACAAAGTAAAGGTCGACGAGCATGTGAAAGCAATTAGTTGAATTGATAAGACAAGTCATTATGGTAGGCGCCGACTAAGCGAGTATCTTATTCAACTTGAGGTGCGCAGAATTAACGTCATTTGGCGTCACGCTTGCGGGAAATCAAAACGGAGTCTGCCGCAATGGTATATTTTTTTATATACTGCGATGATGAGGAGTAGAGAAGAAAGAAAGAGTGAGTAAGAGAGACAGAGAGACAGAGACAGAGAGAAAGAGGAAGGTCTACACTCTAATATTTCGACAATTGCAACAGTCTCGCGTAACTGCTTTTACCTTACCGTGTTTGGTCGGCTCAAATAGTCGGTACGAGCTATATAACACGAAAGCCCAGAAGCCCAAAAGCGCCCAAAGAAGCCGTTACGACCCCTTTTGCGTTCAAGTTTTCACGGTAGGGAATCTGTATTGATATAGCAATCAAGTCATTTTGCTTCATTTACTATCGTCCACACATCAAAATAATGTTGGGATTCTGAGAGCAAGGACGCATGACCATCTTTTCAATGAGTAATTGTACAGCTGATGGTGCTATCGCGCTTCCATATCTTAAGGGCCGGGCATACTTCACGCGATTTCAGAAAAGCAAACGAAAGTTATGGTAACTTACAAAAACATGAACTAAGCTTCACCCTCCAATGTCTTCAAAGTTCAAACAATTCAAATTGGAGAAGATACGGTAGCCACTGTCGTGGAGAGGGCATATGCAGAGGAAAAGCTAACAAAAGAAATTTTGTCCAAACTACACACCACGATCTCATCAAAAGAGAATAGTGGTGCCATATTTGCTAAGTGAGATTACTGAATGCAATAGAGAGAGAAAATCTGTGGGAATGAGATACATATAAGGATGAGATTAAGACGATAAGCTCGGATACTGACGGACGCACAGGAAGAATCAATGACTAATGACGCCGTGCTCTTTCTTGCAAAAGACACGTATCTACATGTGCACAAATGAGCACTGCACAAATCAATCGATACCAGCCAGATACATGTTATCGGTGCCCGCTCATAGAATCTTCGCGACCCGCTCACAAAAACCTTGCTTTCGCAACCCCATCGCTTCCTGGTCGTTGCCAACTAGCTGTTATCGCTGCCTTGTCGTCGCCTTCTCGGTGCTTTTGTAGCAATAACGCGCTCTGTAGTTATTTTCTGACTCACGGAAGATTATGGCAGCCCGCTGATAGCCTGTCGCTGCCCGCTCGCTACTTTTCCCGAGTTATCGCCGCCCGCCCACTGAAAGTGCTTGCTATCGCTGCCCGCTGAGGGTTTCCAATTGTCTGAGCACTCTATGCACATTTTCGCGGTTTTTCCATGGCTGAAAAATGAGAAAACGAAATTCGACACAGTTTTGCCAAAGCAATCCTGAGCTTTTCTCACATGAGTGACACTGTAGTATGGACCTTTAGGATTATGACCATGGACTTTCAGCTTTAGGTAAGCCCTAGTTTTCGAGGAAAATCAAATTGTTGCAAAAAACCCGAAAAACGCCACATATTCGCACTTTTGACCATTTATATTTCTCGTACTGTAGCCAAGGAAAAATAACACAAACTATACAGGTGAATGTCTAGTGTAGAAGGTACATGCCTATGCAAATTGGAGATCCATAAGACGTCTATGAACCCAGATACGATTTTTCGGATATCTAAAATTTTTTACATTTTGGATTCGAACTTTAGGTGGAGTACGATTTTCGCGTAGATTTGTAGATTGTCTTGCAGAGCTTGCTTTGCTCTATCAAATGATACCCCATTCGCTATTTTTTATGGTCATTCTGTCGCGGAAGGATGCCATGCGACATTATTTTCCGGACAACCTAATAGAATCGATAATCCATTTCGAATCAATTTTCATATCTCCCTTAGCTATTAGAGGCGAATTCTTGCTCTACTTCGTGCGCAGTTACAAAGCAAGAGGAAAGGTTACCAAAAAGATATTAGGTAAATTCTCAAAGTCACGCTTGCGTTCAAAGTGCACTTCATGGCGAGAGGAAATGAGGTTTTTTTTGAAAGATAAAGCAGTCAAATTCTGATTTGACCATTGCATCACGATAATGATAATTGGTAAGAACAAATGAATACTTGATCTGCCCCCAAGCCCGTCTAGTATCTTCCTGGCACCCAGCTGAACACGCGCCGGTAATTTTGGCGCACCCTGTAAAATATTATGCTTGAGAGACCGCAAAATCTTTGTACCAAGAAAGATAATTGAAGATAAGATCTTTAGTTTTAGAATTCTCTCTTGTTAAAACTATTTCGGGAGATTTTGACGCTCAGAAATCGTCTTGCTCACTCGATGTCATCAGCCTGCTTCGATAATTTGCAACAATTTAATTTATAGCGTTTTATTATTTAGCCATTCGCTGCATCGATTGCTATATTCATACTTGTAATAAAAATTGCTATGCAAAATAAACAGGCCGTATAATGGCAACAGCCCCGCGCGGTGCAACCGCAACGATACGCACAAGCTTAGTTTCTAGCCGAAAATTCCAGATTCAAGAGTTTCTACTGCTTTCTATGTCTACTGCTCATTCCATTCCCGGTGATGAAGAGCAACAAATGTTATTCGTAGGGATACTGTAGCTAGAATGCCAACGCGCACTAGTTGGTGTGATTGCACTGCGCAGGTCTATCGCCGTTACACGGACTACGATTCGTGTCGCGATACCACCGAAAAAATGTTGACTTGAACAGTCTTGAAGTATCATATAGGGCATTCTAGGAACCGTGAATGGCGGGACCGCGCGCGACACGCACACGCTCCCTGCAACGCATTTTCTTGGTTTTCATCTTTATTTGAATAATTTTTCTGCTTATACAGTTGTTTGTTTATTTGTTTATTTGATAAAGTCGACAACAAAACAATCATATCTTTTGAGGCAAAGAAAGTACATCCACGGTCGACTAAGGAATCTTGCTGCCTCTCAGAAATTGTGTCCCCATTTTTTTTTGAAGGCCAGCGAGCCTACGGGCGGAGGCTAGCTGGCTATAACCCCATCAAAAAGTATTTCCAAAAGGACAGCAAGACATGCAGACAGAACAAGAAAAAAAACGAACAGAAAATCAATGAAACTTTCATGAGGTGGATAGTTCATCCGAGAAAGGGAAATGAGGTAGAAAAGAAACGATGTATGGCTTATGGCTTATTGCAGTGGTTTTTTTTAATGTTTTTCCTAGGGAATAGAATAGGAGGAATAGCATATAGTGCGATTTCCTCTTCCGGATAGAGGAACCAAAACCGGCTAGAGTGCTGCTGTTGAGAGGACAAAGGGGAACGACCTCTTCCGCTTCTGCAATTAAAAATCAGAATGACCCTTGCGATTTCAAATATTTTTGAACTTCTCTGTTGAAAATGAAGGCGTTTCTCGCAGTAACAGCTTCCACAGGGAGATCATTCCAAGTTTTGACTACGCGCACTAAGAAGGAGTTGAAGAACTGCTTAGTTCTAACTTTTCCTACTACAACCCTGAAGTTGTGTCCTCTAGTGAGATTGTTAAAAGTTGACAGTCTGAAAAAATCTTGCATTCTCAGCTCAACTCTTCCAGTCATAATTTTGAAGACTAGATCTTGGTCGTACATCACTCTTCTAAACCGAAGGGAGGTCGCGGCGAGTATGGAGAGCCTAGTTTTGTATGACAGTCGAAACATTCCAGCCCGGGCAAAGATCCTAGATGTGAAAGATCGTTGGACTCGTTCCAAGGCATCAATTTGGGCTTTCTTATAAGGGGACCATAGAGGAGTACAATATTCCAACAGAGGCCGCACATAGGTGACGAAGAGGCGGAAGAGCGTTTTGACATTCGTGGTTTTTGTCATGAATCCCCAATTCATGATTTGTTACAATGTCGATATGCGTTCTCACAGTGACGGGAAATGTTTAACATTATGTTTTGAGAACAGCAACAGCTCTTAAGGGGAGCCGAGGGAAACGGGGGGCAGGTAAGATGGGCAAGCTGCCTCGTCCCTGACAGGCGAGGAACCTGGCAAATGGTAAATCACACTAGGTAAGGCAACTCAATATTATAGAAATATATGTCTTTGTCATTGTGCAAGTTGTAAATAAATATTTTACTTGTGGATCGTATTTCACCCAAAGAAATCGTACTGGAATAGTACGAACAGTTTTAAATGCGCGTAGTATGTAACTACATCTGGGCCGGTAGTAATCTACCCTACCTGGTGGCATCAAAGATGCCGGCAAGTTGGCACACATCGCGGAAAGATGCCAACTCCGCCGGCAGCTCGCGGAGTGATTGTAGGATTTAATAATCTTATGTAACCTTAGCACGCCATCATTTCGCACACTAAATTTTGATGACGCAGACAGCCGCAAAACTGCTGCCTCCCGCGCGTTCGAACCTATGTGCGTTAACTTGAAGTGCCACCACGTTAACCATTCGACCATTCGGTCAGCGATTGCCGCTTGCACCAGCAATAGGAGGAACGCGCTGGTAAATGACTGCCTGTAGGAGGGATCGATACATTGCGTGAGAGACTTTGACCTGAAAGAACAGCTGATTGATATGAGCGAGAGAGGGGCGAAATCGGTGCAAACTGAGATTTATAAGGGATTGCCAAAACAGTTCGTGTTCTATATGATTCTAAGGCATTAGTGGATTTTTTCTCTGTAAGAAAATCGTCATTTTAAAAAAGAAAAACCCATATAATGAGAAAAATGATAGTCTTTTCATGAAAAGTAGAATTTTTGATTTTTTCGCCTGACGTAAATTGTGTGATATCGCCGCAATTCGCAAATTCGCAGACGCCGTCGGCAAAGGTGCCACCACCTCGACGTGGTAGGGGCGCGTCGAGATGCCGGCAGCTCGCTCTCTCAAAAGAGCACGCTATTTCCCGTGCTCTCTGACCTGCCGGCAGCTGCCATCTCGCGGATTCCGGCAACCTGCCGGCAGGTTGCCGGCAACTAACATCGCGAAGTTGCCGGCAGCTCCTCCTGGAATTCCAGATATTTTGCTAAAGGAGGAGTTCTGGAGCCGCAGATTTTTATGAAGTTTTCTACAGAGTCGAGGCGGCAACTTTATCGAGAAAATTTTTT